GGGTGATAAAAGAGAAGTTGAAATAAAAGAAATATATATTTCAGTATTTCAAAGGAATTGGGTATCGGGGTCATAGCTGTATGCAAAGAGTTTAGAAATAAAAAGTGGTGTGCACATGCAAATGTTTAAAGACATGGACAAAATTCGAAGTTGTTTTATTGTTGGTACTGTTTCTTTTCCTTAAATGAGCATAGCTGTTACGACTGGGATAAGGCATAGAGTGGGGCCCTCTGGGCTTTGAATAACAGTGTGTAAACAGTTTTAAGGGATTTTAGGCTATTTCTTGTCTGGATATTGTCTGTGGTAACATTTATAAGCCAGTTAAAGTAGATGTTATATGTAGTGTATACACTCTTTGGTTAAATCAGCACAAAGTAGCTGGACGTGTGTGTGTGATACAAGCAGAAGAAACTTGGACGAGTTGGTTGGGTTTCTGTTTGTGTTGGCATTGTTTTAACAGTTTTTGATGAAGTTCCCTAACAAATCTGTAACTTTTGGGGATGTGCCAAAGGACTAAGGAAACAGCTTTACTTTACATCGGAATTTAAAAGTGCTGCATGGGATGACCCTTTTAACTTCACGTCTAACTTTCATCCCAGGCAAAATGAAAGGATAATTGAAGATAAGCTGGAGTGTGTGAAAGCTCATCTTTTTTTCCCCAGCTGTGAATTGGTCTAATAAAATATACTATCACCACCTACAGACCAAGCCTATCATAATTTATGCCATTCAGCATAGCTCTTGGGAGCGTGAGTCGTAGTCAACAAATATGATACTGTGCTTTGATGAAGTCAAATGCATTTGTTAAAGGAACTAAGGAGATGTACTGTTTTGGGTGGGGTTTTTTTGTATAAAATATACCTCTGTACAGTCTTTGACACTCCACATCCTCACTTTTGTGTAGTGCCGATCTGTAGTGCAGCATTTCTCCATTAATTAGAGAAAAGTGTAATAGAAGACTTGAAAAGCAATGGAAATTTGAGACTTGTGTGGTGTAGTGTGGAAGTGCTAAGGAAAAGCTTATCTTCATTAATGGTGGGCTTATGTAATGAGACATAGACTAATTTCTTCTTTCTCTGTGAAAGTATTTAATGAAAACTTACACCCCAAGAAACTTGGGAGTTAACTGTTTATCAACAGCACCGCATCATGAACATCAAGGCAGATGGAGTTCAGTCCTTGATAAAGGTAGTTCTTAATTGCATTGGTGTATCTAGTGGAAAAAGAAGAATGAGAAAACCTCTAATTCTCAAACAAAACAAAAAAAAGAACATAAAGAAATAGATTATTTTAAGCTAGCATCTTTTTACAGTAATACAGTGTCATAACTGGTATTACTATAGTTTCTCTATCAGAAAAGACTAAAATATATCCAAAGTTTCCAGAAAACATGTTGTCAGACATTAAGATAATAAAATTTACTTTTTTTTTTTTTCAAATTCTTCCCAAATACATAAATTTAGTTCTAGTTGGATTAATGTGTTCCACTACTCACTCATCTGCAAAAACTATTAGGATTTTGATGTGGTAAGGTCAAAGAGTGGAAGTTAAGTATAGTCTTTATTCTTAATGTGCTGAAATAGTTTTGAAATCTAAAATAATCTGTAATTTAAAATAGTCTCTTTGGTCTTGGAAGCAGGAAAGAATTATTAAGAGGGTCTTGTGCAAGCAATGAAATATATTTTAAGGTCTCCAACATAGTAACGAAAAACCTAATGTCATGTCTTTTGGAGTGAGCTTTATATAGCATCTTCTTTGTGGCTGGATTCTGCTGATCATGACACCCGGCAAGACCAACCAAAGGAAAAGTTTTTTAGCTGTATAATTTTTTTTTCTATGGAACTGACAGGTTGCTGTAGGAATATGGTACTAGAGAAGGATGTGTCAGTTTTGTGTAGCATGTAGATTTGTTATTATTACAAAAAACCACTATGACTGTATCTTTTCCTTTTCCTTATAATTACATCTGTAGATAAGAAGCTAAGAAGTAGGAGTCCTACATGGAAGAAATTATTCTTCCACCCATTTTATGCAAACATATTACAGACCTTTAGAGTCAGGATTCTGAATTCAGCAAGTTACGTAAGACTGGGTAACAGCATGCTTTGTCATGTGTTAAATAATTGCTATCCGGATAGCTATTAAAAGTCAATAACATGAAGAATATAAAAGCATGATTATTTCAGGTTTGTCCTTGAAATGTGAATCAAAGTTTATGTTCATTGTACAAATGAATCATTGCAAGAATGAAGAGAGCAGTAAAGGGTTTCTCTACTTCATGTTATGTGTTTGTGTAGGTTAAGCAAAATTGTTACATAAAGATTTTCTGAATGGAAAATTAGTTTTGCCATCCAGGGAGAAGGAAAAAAAAATAAACAGTACGTAAATAAATCCTTTCAGTGTTTCAGTCAGTGAGGAAGAGATGGAAAGGAAGACCCTCCACAGAGTTTCCATCATAGCACTAATGGCCAAAATTTCTTTCTGTCTCTCGGGCCATTTTTGATAGCTTTTTCCTTTGAAATACCTTTATTTAAATCAACACACCCTCTTCTTGTAAGTATTGATTTAGTGGGGGTTTTTAGGTTAGGAGGGAAAAGTTCTTTTGTGGGTCCAGAAAGTGCTGTCTCAGTGCAGTCCCTTTTGTTTAACCTGTGAACTCTGTCTCTTGCCTATCAATAAATACGTATATTATAATTTCTGTGAATGTTTATTTGTCTCCCTACAGTTTTACATATCCCTGCATGAAGCAGGCAAGATTTGTTTGAGCATCATATTTTCAATTACTGATACACATAAAGTTTTATTATGGTGTTTTGTTTAAAAAAACATTTGTAGAACAAAATTTGTTGTGGTATTAGCTTCTTTCAGCTGTGTTTTAAAGATGCGAAATAGTAAAACCCTCAGTTGCCCAAATATGAAGGTTTCTTAGATAGGACTCTTGGCTTCTTTATCTTTTTCCTTCATATTAAAAGAAAATCTGAAAGGAGATTGTACCTGAACAAATTTAACACCATCTCCATGACAACCAGCTAATTAATCGCTATCGGTCTGGCTTTGGTCCTCTTCAGTGAACTGATACTCCCCAGCTTTATTTCACATATCTTCTGGGTTTTCTATGAAGGTCATTTATTTAGCGACAGTATTTCTTTGGGAAAAGCAGCCTTTTAATCCAGGCAACAAGTTTCTTTAAAAAGAGCTCAATCTGACCTGCCGTTGCCTCTCAGTTTTGGTTTCCTGCACAGTAGTAGGGAGTTTTTGAGGTTGTTTGTTTTCTCCTTCTTGCTTTTCCTGATATTTCTGGTTTTTCTTTTGGGCATAAGTGTTCATTATGTATGTTATGACTGTGACCACATTGCAGTACAGGTATTCCCAAGCTAAGTTTGGATCTAAATAGTGTAGAGAGTAGGAGAAATCAGTCCCCCGCAGTGTGATGTTTAGAGTGGGCTGAAAGCTCAGATGGTTTTGTTGCTTCTTGGGACACGTTTTGCAGGTCTGAGCCTCTGTTGCTGCAGTGCTGTAAGTATTCGTGCTTGCTTGTGTAAAGTCATCGCTACACTATCCTGCAGTCAAAGTTTCTGCAATGTTAGAGGTCCTTTGAATCAGTCAAGATACTTGCTACGGTTACTGCATCATTTTTGACATTTATAAATATGTTTAGGGGGCTTGGTAATTGTAATACTGTTGCAAGTAATAGCAAGCTTTCCCCTGTGATAACAGTCTGCGGCTTGTGAACTGTAAGAATATAACGTCCAATTGCCCATATAGCTCAATATCCTGTCTTTCCTATCGGCTTCTCATAGCGGATACCTGTGATAGACTGTAGGGACAGGGAAAGGATGAGATGGTGCAGGATATTTTCCCCAGAACGTTTTCCCAGTCTTCCAACTGTCTGTGGCTGAAGGAGTTGAAAGGTTGCAAGCAGTAAAAAGAAGAATGAAACCTGAGGCTAGGAAAGAACAAGAATTCTCTATCGTGAACATTTCTTGTATTTTTAAGTTTTTATTTTCTTTCTGGATGGCTGTTCACTGCCTCTTACAAATTAAATATGCTTTATACATGTTATGTGCTTACTATGGGAGCAGAGTGAAAACAGGTGAGTATATGCCTCACTCGCAGTCTCCTTTTCACTGATGCATGTTTAGTTCCAATCTTTGTGTTTTCCTGTCATGTCTCATGGATGTATTAATTGTTTGAAGCTATTCTGTATGTTTACTCTTTGAGTGCCATATTTTTTGCACACAGTTTGTGGGACACCTCAATTATCTCATGTAATTTAGTAGCACTTATGAGAGATGAATATTGATGTTTGGGTGTAGGTATGGACTCTATTGAAGATTAAAGTGGCAGACTAAAATGATTGCCAAGAGATTTGTGTAGAAAGGCAATAGAAAAAATCTGAGGTTTGACTGAATATTTTATATATTGCTGAAAGTACAGAAATACATATAACATGCTGTTATGCTGGTTTTAAGGTGTGCATAAAACTATAAAGAAAGCAAAAATGTTGTGGCAACTCCCTTATTTTTCTTAATAACTAGCAAGCCAACAAAAGAGATTCAGAAGGGCAAGATGCACTGGGAGAGGCTGGAAATAGTTTTAGGTAGTTTCCTTCATAAGCTGATTTTTTAAATCCAGCCTGCTGGAAGAAGTTATGATTGAAGAGAATAGATACGGATATTTTACATAATAAATGACTGGGGAAATGGTTCTAAGCGGATATTTAGTACTTGGATTTGCATGAAGTGAAGAGGGGAAAGGAAACCAAAACCGATACTGAACTGGAGGCAAGTTAGGCTGCAAAAGTGACCTTGAAGATGGGAAGCATGTTCTGTATGGTATTAGATATGTCTATTCTGAATCATTGTCTTTCAGCTACTTATCTGACAGTGTGCTGTATTTAGAATAACTTATTAATGATTTCTTCTTTTGTCTCTTTGTTTGTTTGTTTGCTGCTTCTGTTTGTTCGTACGTGACACGCTACTGACCTGGTACGTATGAAGATTGCTGCGTTCACTGTATCCTGGCTTGCTTGTTCTGTGAATTTCTCACCCTCTGTAACATTGTTCTGGGACAAGCATCCTGTGGCATCTGCACATCGGAGGCCTGCTGCTGTTGCTGTGGGGACGAGATGGGGGATGACTGTAACTGCCCGTGCGATATGGACTGTGGCATAATGGACGCATGTTGCGAATCTTCAGATTGCCTGGAGATCTGCATGGAATGCTGTGGGATCTGCTTCCCATCATGAAATATTTATCCCTTTTTATTTTATTTGCTATGAAACTGGAGAGCTTTTCTTTAAATACATTTGAAGAAAGACAAGGTAAGATTTTCACACAACCAACTGGTATTGCACTGTTAATTCCCTATATATAAATATTTTTTTAAAAAGCAATCCTCAAATCTGTATTCTAACACAAATTGTATAGTTTTGTATGTGAAACTCAAGCTGCATTCCAGCTTCCTTTTGGCTTTGCAAATGGAAGACTTTATTGAAACCGAATCACAGGCCTAATACCACAGGCTGTATGAGGGCAGAATTGCCATTTGAATTGAATGACAGGTTTTGGTCAGAGAAGAGACTACGGGGCAAAGCCTTAAGTATTTGCCTTTAACTACTTTAATGTTTAAATGCTCGAATGCCTCCATGCATAACATGCCTTTACAGGCATCCTGAAAAGCAAAATGTCTTTATTTCAATCTCTTTGTGTTGAAAGCAACTTCGTTCTATTATTTTAAACTTAATTCAAAAGTCAGCATCAGGAATCTATTTTACTACTGTTTTACTACAGTGGTCACCTTGGCAATATTTCTTTTGTTTTGAATATCTCATTGGTTTGAGAGAGATTCCTGGTATTTTCCATTGTCAATATTGATACTATGGGAAACTTTGGCAAACTAAATTCAGTTTAAGTTTTGCCATGGACTAGAGTACCAAGTTTTCATTGTTATCAATCAAGACAGAATAGAGAACTTGTATTTTTATTTCAGTACTAATATTACTTGAAATGCTTCTTTTTTAGAAAGAGACTTTGGAAATCTGTGTAGACATGAAATATATCCTTAGACTAACAGACTAATAGACTAACAAATCTTCAAAATTTGGCTGTAAAACAGCAATTATTAGAAGTTAAGTCAAGAATCTAAATCTGTACATTAAGTGGCCCTATCAGTGTTTGTGGCTTTAGAGCCAGTGTCACATAACTTAGTATTTATTTCTTCACTGTGTGAGAAAGATTCACAGAGGATGGCAGAACTTAAATGGGATATAAAGACCAAATTAAAACTGACTTGATCAAGAAATTCTGTCATTGAATGCAAAAAGCAAATGCAAAAATGTTTATTCTCAGATCCTTTTTAAGTGTTATTTTTAAATAACTGTGTAAAAAAAAAGACATTTAAAAAATGTATGATATCCTTTACAAATAAAAGGAATGGGATTTAAAATGTTTGAAAAATACAGTTAGGATCTGGTGGGCAACTTTTTCCCTCTTATACCGTTAAGGTTTTCTGAGAAATATGTCTCTCTGTCATTGTAATTGTGAAATGAATTTGGTCCAACACATAAAGACGTTTATGGCATTCCCAGATTTAGGGAATAATGGTACCCATTTTCTTTACCATCAGCTAGTTTCTCCCCTCCATGTCTGTAGCTCATTAACTTTTCTGTCTAAACCACCTACACATCTTGATCTCACATACTTAAACTTTCCTATCTACCCTCCAGATTTCCCATTTGTAGATTGTTGGATCTCGTAAATTAAGGCCTTGTTACAAGAGTCATCGATAGCCAATTTTTTTCTGTTGAGTGAGTTGACCATAAATGTCTCTTTCCGCTGTAGTGAATTCAGTTTATGCAAATGTGACAAGCTAAAGATCACAGGAGTGTGAAGCTAAGTCAACAAGTGGTCTGGTATTAACCAAAGCTTCTCCCTGTGAACACTGACTAGTAGTGCCTACTACTGCAAGTTATCACTGAAGGAAACATAGCCGAATTCTCAACTATATTAGGGAGCTGGGAGGTGTTAAGTTTTGCCTTAACATCTGCAATATTGTGGTGTATTCTGATGTAATGCAGATTTACTCAGAGGGTTTCTTACCTGTTTTTTGATAGTTACTACAAGAATTGATTCTTAACATCTTTGGGTTTTTTTCCATATATTGGACCAGATTAAGATCTGTATTGCATAAACTAAGTGCATTTCCATTAATGTCAGAATTTTCCATTGGTTTAGCTCCAGCTAGAGAGCACAAAAATATTATGGTAATAGGCAGGCTAATAAGGAATCATATAGTTAAATTGATAAATTCCCTGAGCTCAGAATCAGGCCCATGGGGCTCAATTATGACTCCTAAAAGTCTGAACCACATTGGGAAGGGGGAAGAGGTGCCTTGGTTGAGTGGCAGTGCCTGGAGGCATTTTGCCTTTGTAAGGCATAATGCCTCTGGGGAAATTGGGGGCATCACAGTGAGCACTGGGACTTGAGGCACCTTGGAAAAAGTCTAGACAGTGCTTCGCCCATTGTAGGTGTGTGGTTGGCACCGTGGTGGTGGGGCTAGGCAGCACCATGAACTATCCTTCCTCGTGTCCTTCTGGTCACGGGGAGGTGAATTGTGGCTGTTCCTTGTCTGATTGTGGTTTTGGGGATGGGGAAGAGGACTTCCAGGCTCCTGTCCTGCCCCTGTGTCCGTGCCCTGCCGGAGCAGTTCCAGTTTTGTGCTTGGAAAACTGCACATTTGCATATCAAGCTTTTAGTGAATTCTGGATGTTAGTAAAAATTACTTTTACCGCAGGATGATAGTTTTTTAAAAAAGAAGATACCAATTTAGGGAGTCCTTTTTCTGTGTAAAAGTTTATCTTATTTTTTATGTTTATACAGTTTGCTCTGCACAAACCCTTGTTTCTACTTACAGGAACCCAGAGGGTTTTTTTGATTTACTGCAATTATGAAAACCTGGGAAATGTATTTACTATTAAGTATTTACTTCCAGTGCTGTTAAAATACAAATGATAATTACAGGAACTTTGTTCATGCATATATGCATATGTGTACAGACTCTCTCAGACACATGCACACACACACACACACACACACGTGCAGATATATTATTTCTTTTCCCACTTTGTGGAATACTAGGAAGTGAAAATAGTGTTTATTAACTAACCCTCATAGTGACTAGAAGTATCAAAGTAGTACAGACAGTTGAAAAAAATAAAAAACTGTGTGATTTGTTTGACATTTAAATGTAATCTGCTACTGTTTGTCATAGAGATATTAGCACTTTTGTAAAATGTATCTTGTAGCAGAGAATATTAGTATGTAGTTTAAGGAATTCCTTTCTATATTTATATTCTTAAATTCTGTTTTGTAATTCTCACTCTATAGGCAATCTTGTAAGCACCTTGTGTAATTAAATCAAGCAGAATTAGGAGGAGTCAAATGTGAAAATATAGTTTAAATAAAATTAAAACATCAGAACTTAACTGTCTATTTTATAATAGTTCTTGTGAACTTGTACAGTGTTTCAGTTTATAGTTCTGCAAACTTGCCCATTTGAAAAAATGGTAACTTGCTCTTTGTATTTTGTATCAACTGGATGTGCTATTCTCAAACACTATTTTGAAATAAAGATCTTTATTTTGAAACTTTGGGATATCTTCTTGTCTTGCCCTGTTACTCTTCTGAATGATAATTTCATGTCTTATTTGTGATTTTTTTTCTGTTAGAACACTTCCTGAAGGCTTTGGCCTTCGCGTGATTTGCACAGAGGCTGAGCCGGTGTACATGAGTTGTTTTACAGGTGGACCTAAACCAGGAGCTGAACAGGTGCTAGAAGCTGTGCTAGCATGAATCTCCAACAGTAAAAAAGTTTGTCATTAAGAGGGCAAATTCATTCCTTAGTGAAACTGTGTTAATAAGGTGAAATTCCAGCAATGATTAAATTTGATCAAAATGAAAATTATTTTAATACATCTGCAGCAATACTCTTCAGGTTACTAAAACCAAGCTGAACAAGAATGTAGTTGTTTCATGGTATTGCAGTAGACATATTAAGGTGAATGGCCCATGTGGCCTATGTAACGAAGGCTTACACACAGTACCACTATTTTAAAGAAGTAAGGTATGCTTTTAAAATCAGTTAGTTTAAACACAAATAGAGTAGACTGTTTCAACTGTGATTGAAGCAAAGATTCTTTTTTTTCATGTTGGCTTAAGCTGAGTGTGAGCACGCTTATGCTACTTTAAAACTGCAGAAACTGCATGTCTGCAGTCTTTTGCACTAATTTTTCTATGTCTGTTTTAAATTTATTGAATGTTCTACCATGTCTGTGTATACGTGGGCCCTTAGAGGATCTAAAAAAATTCTGCCATGTCTCCCTTCTGGGCATTACAGAGGTAAGATGTTAAAACTGGCGGAAGTTGTGCTTGAGTGTGTGCCATGAAGTCTTGCCATTGAGACCACGTGCCGAAATAATTGTTCGTGTAAGAGAACTAATAAATGCATAGACAAAGAGCACCATTTCAGACTTATTATAGGTCTTTTAGCCAGTATCCATAATACATAATATTTCTAGAAAAAAATGCTTTCAGTGAAGAAGGATCAGGAACATTTGGGAGCTTTTGGATTGAATAATGACTCTGTTTTAGCCATAGTACTCATGTTAAGAACTGTTTGTTGAGTTTGGTGAATAATTTTTTTTATAATCTTCTAAATGAGAAGCTTTTCTGAGCTCTTCACACATTTTTTTAGACAAACTGTCTTAATGACTGCAATATTCGATGTATGTTCTTGAAGAGCAATGCCAATTGTGTTGATGTATTTTCCCAGTAAACCTCCTTATGTCATCTGTCTTGTAACTTTCTGAAAGGCAACAGATGCATCATAGAGTGAATCAGAGAATGAATCATATATCTGAAGTCTTACTCTTGGCCCCCAAATTAAATTTAAGGTTAGAGAAATACCTCCCTGGTATCTTCTCTCTGTACCTCTCTCTGTCTACATGTGAGTGCATACACCATGTGTTGGAAGACTTCAGGTAACGTTGATGGTGACTGTAGTAGCTCTAGAATCCTCCAGGCATTACTCTTACTTTTTTTCCTACCTTTTAACCCTTCTGCCAGTTCTTGTAACTTCCAAAGACAGCAGAGGGACCTTAACTGAATTTTAGCATCAGGATATTGAAAGAAGTTCAATAAAAATAATACTCTGCACCCATTTCCATAATGCCCTTATTCACTGTGCTCCGGATACTCGAATGTGAAATTGATTGCTTGTACAAAATTCAGCCTCCTCATAAGCACTTGCTTATGCTGTTTACCAGTGATTTGGTGCTAGTGACATAAAAGGATGGCCTTTCTCTTCTTCAGAAGTCTTTGATATGATGGCCTCTTTCTACTATAGTTGGAAAGAGAGAAATTTCTCTGAATTACCATTACGCAAAACAGGCAGATATTGAGTTTGATGAGGTGATCTTAATCTCTATATGGTTTTTAGTATATGAGTTCACCTCACTTAAAACTTAATTTAATAAAACACGACATACAATCCTGTTTGCCTCCGTTACGTATGTATATTATAGCAATTGTTAGTACATTACCATTCAATACTCATAAAAATGGAATAGTAGATGAAAGGTTGTATAATACCTTTTATAACTTTAATAGTGTCTTACTAATTTTTATTCTGATATGCATATGCTATTTTAACGGGCAAAATACTCCACAATAATTGAGGCTCTTTATATCATCTCAGTAGGGTATGTAATTGGTGCCCAAGCACTGTACAATTCCTCTTCAATCAGTGGTGTAGGCTTCTGCAATTTGTCTCATCTCCAGGTTGCACAAAGTGACCACACTGAATACGCTGTACTCTTAACTTGTATGTGTTTCACATTACAGTCTTTTTCCACAGTACCTGCCTTTGCTTCTTTAGCTTTATCACAAGGTGGTTTGTTTGGTTTTAGTGGTTTTTTTTTTAAATCTTTGTTGTTCAAAGAGAAGAGAAAGGGCTTTTATTATAGATGTCTAGGACAATACCAAGGTCTCTGTTACATTGTAAGTTATTTCTTCATCTTTTCTCTGTTCACTGCTATATGCAACTCGTAGTCAAACAGACTTGTGAAAGTGATATCTTTGGAACTTTGGAATATTTCTAAGTAACTGTAGCTCAACAGTGGTTTATATTTGAATATTTGCAGTTTAAAATACATTGATTCTGTCTTGCTCGTTGAAATAAAGATCCGAAAGTTCTGTCGAGATGGACTCTGCAGAGTCTTGCAAACTGGCAGTCTTCAAAATAGTTCTTCTACTCACGAGAATAAGACCAGTACATTAGTTTAAAATTAATACATTTTACAGTGGCATACATACACTAGT